AATGCTGCTGCCCATGTTCTCACTAGAACTAAGAAAGTAGAGCACATCAGCCTGGATCTCCTTCCATTGGCTCCCTGTGGCTCAGAGATTAGCATTTAAAATCCTTCTGTTAGTCTATAAATCACTGAATGTATCAGCACCTCAATACATAACAGATTTGCTGTAAGTATATCAATCTCCCAGACCACTCAGGTCTTCTAGTTCCAGTCTACTCTGTACACCCAGAACTAGAACCAAACATGGAGAAGAAGCATTTAGTTCCTATACTCCACTGATCTGGAACAAACTCTGAAGACTGTAAAAGAGCTGAAAACCTGAGTTATTTTAGGTAAAAGTTAAAAACACATTTATTTAGAGCTACCTTTGACTGTTAAATTTGAACTGTTCACTAAGATATAATTAGTTTTAAGTTTGTGGTACAACTTTTTTTACTTGCTTTGCTATCTGCTTTTAACATTTATCTTTAATTGCTTTTTTCTGGTTTAATTATACTTCCTTTCTTTGTTTAATTCATGTAAAGCACTTTGAATTATCTCCATACTGAATTGTGCTATATAAATAAACATGCCTCGCCTTGCGACTATGCTGAAGTGTCTTCTCTCTCTCAGTTAGTCCTACAGAGCATTACTATCACTATGGTATGCCCAAAGCAAACATTACATCACTCAATACAGATGATGGTGGATTTAACTACATTGAAACATTTTCATGATCCTCCAAGTGGTAAAAGACTAGTATGCAGAATAAATGACCCAATAAATCTCAGCCAAAACGAAATCAATTAGCTAAAAATGTATGTTTTTTTTTTCTTGTAGTAGTTTCCCAAAATGGCACCAAAGACAGAAGTTTTACTATTAAAGAAACACCACATTCTAACTCCATCAGAGCTCACCTTTATGTTGGAAGGCATCCTTTAGGTTCAGAAGCACATCAGCAAACCACCTCACATCGTTCACCAGCTGCAAAACATAGTCAGCATCCACACCTGGGGCCCCCATGAGGCGGGATGGGAGCCCCATGTTACTCAGAGGGTTGGGGCTCTTGGTGCTGCGGCCCATGGTCCAAGCCTTGGTGGATTTGGGTGACAGAGATTCTTGGGGTTGAGTGGCAGCCGACTGAAGCTCCTGGACATTATTTGTCGCTGTACCTCCACCGATGCTGCTGGTGCTGCTGTTGCTGCTGCTTCTGCTGCCCTTCCGTAGCATCCCAGCAGCCAGGGCAGACGCCACCCTTTACAGGTGGTACGTTCGGCTGGCTAGCCCCTGAACTCACCACACAGCCCTTGTCCCTGGAGAGCTGGGAGTGAAAAAAAGGAACAATGGGTAGAAAAGGAGCTGATGCAACTGAGTTTAGGTCATGTATATTCACAGGCTGACCTGAGGCATAAGTGAACTAGGCCCCTGCCTAGTTGGCCCCAAAGAGCCAGGGAGCCCAAGTGAGCCCTTATACTGTAAGTAAAGATTAATTTAACTCCCTATTTGTCGCCAGAGCAGAGTTTTAATTTTGTTGGGACATGTTTAAAGTAGAATTCAAGGATTCTGATATTTCTCATTTTAAATGATTCAAATCTGTCGAAAAATTATTTGATATACTTATAGCCATAGTTCATTCGAATTTGACAGCTTGTTTATAAGCTGGGATCATTAAATAAAATCTTAACAACTAATTGAGAATCGCTTTAACAATTGTAAAATAGCAGAAAACATTTAAAGCTGAATGTCTAACAACTAGAGATAGAAATATTTACCTCTTTGCTGAAGCCAATTTGATCGGACTGAGAGCACATATTCTGAGCAGCAATTTTCCAACTTCACGAAATTAATCGAAACTATTTAACTTTTGCTTAGCCTGAATGTTTGATTTTATTGTACCATCCTGGTCTCAAGTCCTTTGCAACATATAACTGTTATCCTTTTAATATCCCCATATTTAGTCCTGTCTATCTTCCCAACACCTCTAACCACCTTCCCTGTCCCTGCTGAAGAAAAGCAGCCCCACATTATGAAGCTGTCACCACCATGTCTTACACACAGGACAGTGAGTGCTCTTAAAGGCAGCCATAATGAGTCAACCATTGATTAGGCTCCTCTGAAAGAAACTGTCAAGAAAAACAGCCCTACTTATGTGCAATGCCTGACAGGAAGTTGTGGGGACATTACCGTTTCCGTTCTCTACCAGTAAGTTGACTGCAGGCTGTGCAAAGCGGAGCTCACCTTCATAGTAGCACTTGTGGAAAAGCTATGAGATCAAACTACAAGCAGAGTGTGCAAACTCTGGATGGGTATGTTTCATTTGAAACACCACAGTCTGGTTTATGATTTTAGTCGTCAAATCTCAGGTATAAAACATATTGTACATGTCGCGCTGAAATGTACCAATCCAAAACAAATCAATGGCTTTAGTCAGGAGGAGCTTTCATTTCAAAATTGGTGATGCTTAGATTAGAAATAGAATAACAAATAAAGTAACATTGGGTCCCATATTAAGCATAGGTAATCAGAACCTATTGGTTGTTATAAGTCTATCATATAATCATCACACATTTCCATACTTTTTCTACGTCATAAGAATTCTGAATTATCATGATAACTTTCAACTCTATCTAACAATGTTTGTACAATCTTGAAGTATTTCTGGGACTAATTCTACAATTATTTCAACCACTGTTTTAATTAACTAATTGGAAACTTTAATTGAATGAGAGCAGCAATAATAATATTATCTTTTACATTGTAAGTGATATAAAGTTTCTCTACTTTATGACACTGGGGTTCTGAAGAAGCGCATTTAGCAATATTTAAGTCGCTGTTTTTGTAAATTTACGATTGCGTTGTTTTTAATGGGATGTTTGTGTTTCGTTTTTTTGTGCTGACTGGAGTCTGCAACTGTCAAGCCATCCAATCCTTTGCAAAAAAGACTGTTATTGATTTTTAAATGCATTTATCACAGATTTGATCATCTTTGCAAAAAAATAGCCCCAAAAAAGTATTGTGATAATCATTTGCATTCATATCAAATTACCGATTTTTGCCATATGTGTTTTTTCCTTAATGTTACAGTTAGTGTACCACATTCCCAGTTTTTTTATTGCTATGTAGAAGTATTTATTTGTTAAAAAAGCACAAATATGAGTTATTAAAATTATATTTCAATCTAACACATTAAGAATCCAAAATTGATAAGTAAATAAGATGACAAGACTTCAAGAACTTCCTTGATCTAAAAACAGCAACCACCAAATTACTCCAGACTAAAATATTACTTTAAATCAAAATGTCTGATTTGTGAAAGTTTGTATTCTGCTATTTTAAGTCATAGTTGAAACACCTTTTTTTAAAAAAGAGCAGAATCATTGGATTTATAGAAGCAACTGATTATGCAAAACGTTTAAAAGCACCATGTTGTGCAGCAAAAAATGCTCCCAAACCAAATTCTGCTCCGGGCCTTTTAAAACATTGGACCGGCCTTGTGTTTATTTGTATAAACTATTTTTTGCTGTTTAAATGACTGAATTCCATGTACAACTTAACTTGTATAAACACTACACAAACGTGTAGTGGAACCGTTAATAAAGTATTTGTTTTATTGTAAATACTACTTTAATAACACAGTATTTACCTTAATTCATCTTTGGTATTTTTTATATATATATATATATATATATATATATATTTTTTTTTTATTGATTCACCAAGTGTTCTTAGGAAGTTTAACTAAGTAGACTTAACCGTTAAGAGGAAATATTGCGGTAAGCTAACGTTTTCTGCATAAAGTAACATACGCAATGTAACAGAAATGTGTTTCAAAGCTAAATGAACAGCAATAAGTAATAAAATTGATTCCAAACTATTCTACTTAAGCTACTTTCTTTTTTTGCTGATGAATGTGATGCTGTTTGCCCCTGGAAAAGCAGCCAGACCCGGTTATAAACTGCTTTGCTGGCACAGTAAAAGAGGCTTTTTAAAACTCACCTGCTTGGCAGTTTAGAAGCATAGCATTCAGAAAAGTCACAAAATAATGCATTCAATTTTGTTAAAAGTCATGGGAATCATGGAGCATCCGTTTAGGAGATAATAAATCCTCACAAAGGTAGAACGATGTTCGTGAAAAACTAACTGTACACCGACAACTACCAGACTCTCGGCAACTCTGAAGTCAATCGTAGTTTACGAGTCTGGTTGTCACGTGAGGGATGAGCTGCGTTCTGATTGGCTTAGGGGCTTTTCAGAGGCTAACTCTGTGATGCGTTCAAGTGCCTGCAAAAATAAGATAAAGCTCGGAATAGTTCTTTTGATTTAATACTTACTACATAAATCGTGATCACGGTTACCTGAAAAAAGTTTTACGTCAAAGGAGATTTGTAAAAATTCAATATTTGTAAGTCTTATTAGTTATCTAAGCCAAACAAGGTCTGATGTTGGAATGAACGAGGGATCTCCGAATGTGACAGGGAGACTTGGATGGTATGTTGAATTGTAGGGTATGCTTTGTTTTTCCCCCCTACAATTCATATATCTAATATCTACACCATCTGAGAGGAAGCTTTAAGTAAATAAGTAAGTAAAGTAAGTAAATAAAGAATCTTTTTTTATTAGCTGATGTAAAGTTTAGGGGAAAAATAGGTATGAATCAATAAACAATTCCCTGTTACCTGGTTTATATGATCTATCCATCTTATTTATTTTTTGCTTTGCTTGTTAGTTCACTTTCTGGAAAAGTATGTATTCATTACACTAAAACTAAATATATTAAACATTGTGTCCATTATAAGAGCCCTATGCGTCCACTTAACAAGCAAAACAAGAAAAACAATACTAATATCACAGTGCATTGTAACAGAAAAAAAAAATGCTGGTTACATTTTTGCTGCCATCTAGTGTACATGTGCACTAATAGATCTAGGTTTTACTCAGGTTTTCTTAAGACTATTTTATGCACTTTTTGTATTTCTAGGTTCTAATTAATTAACCGATGGGAAATAAAAAGAAATCACACCAAACTTTATTTTTAAATCAGGATTCAACTTTATTTTCATATACAAAAAGATGAATGTATTCTCATCTAGTTTATAATTCTAAGTATTTTAATGCACATAGTTTCCATTCATACTGAATTAAAGAAACCAAACGACAAACAAACACATGCACGCACACATACACAGTTCACATAAACAGGGAAGGTAACACAGTTCCAACATTCGTTCACACAGTAATAATAAAGAAAAAAAACAATATATTGACTGCAAACAAAAAAAAAATATGATTTTGCTTTCACAGGATCCACACATAAAAAGGAAGAAACCCTTTACATTTAGCAAGTAAATATATACACAATACTTGATTTTTTTTTTCTATATATTTTTTTTATGTTGCTGAAGATGAGACCGACTTCGTGTTAGTGTTACTAAAGATACTGCATGAGGTAACATGGTTTTTTTTCGGTTCAGAAGAGCTAGGTGTAAGACAGCATTTGGAGGTAACAACCGGTCACAGCAGATTTTACCACATGACATGTTGTTTGCCTGGCACGATTCGGAAAAAAAAAAGCACCTGGGCCACAATCAGCTTGCGCACCAAAGTTTTAATCCTCTGGGTCTGTTTTTTCTTCCTACCCCCCTTATCAACAAGAGGCTGTCAGAGGATGGTCAAGGTGTGAGGAGTTGTTCTGTGTTGGGCTGCAGAGGATAACTGTTGTCACAGCTGAGTGTAATGACTATTGCTGTATAGTAAATATTGCTGGACCCTTGGACCGTGCACATGGGCGCTGTCGGCGTAAACCCCAACGGTGCTGCATTAGTCAGTCATGTGGCTACAAACACAATGATGGTTTCCCCCCGGGAAAAAAAAAAAAATGTTCAGCATTGAATTATTTTCCCCCAGAAGTCCTTTTACCAAAACTGCACATCAGTTAGAGCTACAGACCACTGTTAAAAAAAGAAATCACTATCTTTCCACACCACTAATCAAAGCACAACAGATGAGCCTGTGTGTTGTCCAACGTGGCTAAACTATCACTATAAACAGGTCAGAACGTCACATCAGCAGGTTAATATTGAGGCAATACTGTTCAAACAAGTGGCCAATCACAGAAGCCGCCACACCAAAACCATAAAAATATTTGTTCGTTTTTCTTTTCCGCGATGATATACACATTTTTATTTTTGAATGCCAGTGCCACCCTCACAACCTCTAAATAAGATGATTCAATATCATAAACCACTGATATCAGTAACACTTCTCTTAAGAGTGAAAAAAAAACAGGGCTAGAGATCTAAATGGATTGGTAGATATGGTGTCAATAAACCCCTTTCTGTATCTGAAATGAACACTGCAAATGCCCTGATTGTTTAGAGGTGCATCTTAAAAAATTTGAATAAAATCAAAAAGTTTGTCTTCCAGTAATTCAATTCAGAAAGTCAAATTTAACAAATAAATTCATTACATGCGATATAATTTAGTCCATTTCTGTTTGTTTTGATCATTTTTGGCTTATAGCTAATGAAAACAAAATTCAGTTCGTCAAAGTTTAAGTACTACACAAAACCAATGAAAAGTCATTTCGGTATATAAACATAAATGCCAAAAAATAAAAATACTTTTTCCTTCCACTCAACCTTTTCTTTACTACACAGCCAGTTTTGCAAGAATCGTTTTTAAGACCAGTACTGCACATGGAGTTTGACAATAGTGGTTTTATTGGGGAAAAAAATACTACATAAAGACATTAAAACTGATTTCTAATGGAGAAATGTTATTGTGATGTTTTGGTTAACATATTAATAGAGCTTAATGACCATCCTTCATGAGAAGGGAAAGCCAGCTGAAGACGTTTCTGTCTGATTAGAGTGCTGCATTAAAGCACAATAGAATACTGAGTGGAATAAAAACACTTGGAAGATGCAAGACTCAAAACAGTAGCAACTGAGCCAGTTATTCACCAGGTATTACCAGTGCAAAATGAGCACTGATCAAGTATTGAGAGTTCATACTGTACAGTGTTGAGACTGTAGAGTGTATAAGATAAATTTTTTGGTTTTATGTCACTTATTTGAGAAACTGAATTTTGTCTTTTTTTTAATCGGGTTAAGTAAAAATCATAAAAACAAACAGAAAAAAAAAAAAAGACTTAAAAACTTCCATTTGTGCGTTTAAACTAAACAAGTTTCAATTTTCAAAGCAAATTTTCAAAGACACTCAAATTTATTAAAATGCCCCCCATTTATAAATGTAAAACAAAATATTTACGTATCAGGCGTCTTATGTGTACAAGCATATTTACAGGAATCTGCCTCTCTTTTTACATTTGTAGGGCATTTACATCATGAAAAGTGGTCAGGTTCTATCAAAAAAAATAAAAATAAAAAATAAAGACAGAGGCCATCCCACCTGCAATAAATTCTTTCAACTACTCAAACATAATAAAATACATTAACACAACTTGATATACATGTAGAAAAAGCCTGAGGTACTTGTCAGAATATCTGAGGTCAGTCTGGAAGAGTAAGCAGCTGAAGGCTTACCCAGTCAAAAGAAAAAACGCACAAAAAATACCCACAAAAACAGGATATTAGCCTTACATAATATCATGGATAGTTAGTGTTACATTAACAAACAATACATGTACATCTACAAATCCTTGAGTATCCTGGAATAGTCACAGCAGCATAACGGACATTCAATGTATGGTGTTCATATTATGGTACAACTATGGCATTGCATTTGAGACAAAGGCAACCAATTTGAGCTCTCCTTGCATGACATACAGTAACTGAGGTATCTGTGGACCCGTGTCCGACTGAGTCTAGTAACCAAACACCTATGAAATTAAAAAAATAAAATAAAAAATGCATGACAATCACAAGGATAAACCCTAAATTACCTGTTAGTCGTTTTTACTTTAAAAACACACACTCAATCATAAATCATTACATTCTCACACTCGCACACAAATGCATATGGATAAAATTAAGAATGTGTAACATTGCAACTCCAGACAGCATCAGTCAATGCCCCTGGCACTGGCAGAAAAGTAACTCTGAAATTCAAAAAAATTAAAAACAAAATAAAAACAATATCATCCAGGATTATGTCCATGTTAGCTAGGTGGATAGCTTGGCTCTCAACTTATAGAAATGTTTCAAAGAAGCCTACTGGATACCTGAGAGGTAGTTCCAAGGACAAGACATCTGTCCGAAATCTTCACAAAGTCCCATATGACTGCTCAGTTCAGATTTTGCTTCCTCCCTAAGAAAAAACAAAAAGTGCTCCGTTCCTTTTTTGTTTTTTTTATTTTCTCTCTACATCTCGTTCTGAAGAATTCACAGGTCGAAAGGAAGGGAGCACTCTCCAAATTTATAAATCGAGAAGCTTCAACCCCTGAGGAAGATGAAAATATTTTTTTTTGTTTTAACAGTCTCAAAATGTTTCTTCCGAGGTGTGCAGCGTGTTGTCTGAGGTTTGGAGCGAAGGTTTTTCCAGAATTTGGCCACAGATGGGAACTACAACAAACACAGCAGCTCGTGGGGTGATTTAAAAAAACAAAAACAAAAAAACAACAGGACACACTAAACTTTTAAAAAAATACATGGAAGCAATGATTAGGTTTAAGGTTTGACACAGAGGTGATATGAGATGTGCCCATCACACAGCTTATTACTAATTCAACTACAGCAGATGGATGCGTTAGTAAAACACAGAAGAACATCAAACAGAAACAAAATATTAGTATGTAGGTAACGAGCAGCTTCATGTAGGTTGCTATGGTGACAGGGAGGGGATGTGGGGTAGAGTTGTTAACGTTAACATAGATCCGCTGAGCTTGGGTTTGAGAATGAACATAAGTCAGGAGCTTAGGTGAGGCAAGGTGTCACCCATTTAGGTACTTGACTCTTTGGGAGGTAGGTCCTCGTTGATGAGAGATGTCACAATGGAGGCTGGGTTGTCTGAGGTAGTGCTGCCTATCGTCCTGGCGATCTGGCTGATGCGCTCCTCCACGCAGCCAGCTGACAGTCGTGCCTCAGCGTCATGGTCCCAGCACTCCTCGATGGTCTCCCACATCTGACTCAAACCCTGAAAATAAAAATGGAGAGGTCAAAAATGTCTTATTTACAATTTCTTATCTATAAAAATAAGTGGCGGGACTGAAAATATATACATATATATATTTGTTTTTTTTTTTTTGGCTTAGCACTAATTGGACAACAACATTTTTTTTTTATTATTGGGATACCAGGCAGCTTTTGTGCTTTTTTGCAGTGCTTAAATTCTTCAAGAATTGAGTAACCAAACACTGCCAGGTAAATGGTTTAAATTTAGTAAAAGAAACATTTCAATATCATGAAAAAGGGTCACTTTTTATTACCCATTTCAGAAAGTGAAACTTTCAGACTGTACAATAACTAAAATGTATTTATTGAAGAAAAGTCCAGTGTAGAAAAGAAATGTGTGCATTTCATGCACTCCAGACCGTCTGCATGAAGGCAGGCTGACATCATACTCCATCAAAACAACGCTCTTAACGTTTAAATAAGTGTTTAACAGTGAAAGCACCGGCCTAAAAGCGCAGGGTTATTTGTGGCTTTCAGTAAGTACAAAATAAGGAAAATAATCTCAGTGACAGGTACCAACTGTCTAATGAAGATGCAAAATACAGACTACCAACACACATTACTGAATGCTTAAACATGTATCAAAGCCTTACATAAACACAATAACAACATGATTACAAGGAAAGAGAAAAAAACTTTTCTACTCATGGTCAGACATAAATAAATCTCCAATCCTCTTTAAAATGACCTGCTGTCTTTTTTGCAGTGAAGCCAAAATGCTGTCATCAAGTTTTTATGGTGGTGGTAAGTTCTTCAGTGTAGCAAAAAATTGTGAGCAAACTGTTCCTTTAATTGCCAACTCTATTAACACAAAAAGTCATTGAAGACCAGGTCATTTCTGACTTCAAAATAAAAATCATTAACAGACTGTCCAGATTAAAGCACATCTTCAAAAAATGGGCCAATATTTCCAGATGGGGACAGCATTCACTCTCACATCTTAGAATTTGGAAACTTCTTTATATCCTTCTTTAGACAAAGCTAAAGAAATTGGATTATAACAGGTTCCATGAAGCATTAAATCTGACTAGATTTATTGAACATATGGGTGTAGTATATTCTGGTATTTGAGATGGAAATGTAATGGTCATTGTTCCATGTTTACTCACCGGATGTTTGAGCCAGCAGTCCTTGATGGCTGGACGCATCTTCTTGTGCACGACCACATCCTGCAGGTCCTCCAGGGAAGGATGCTGACCTATTTCATCCTCAAACGGCAGCATGTACTCACCAACTATACCTGAGGAGAAACAATAGCCCAGTAGAGCAGAAAGCAGGAGAACAGGAACAGGAAACAGAGAGGCATGAGAACAGGAAAGAGTTTCAGATTCCAATATCTGAAATATTAAATGTGAATAAAGCTGACGCTACAATTGGACAGCTCTACAAACAAAAAAAAAAACAAAGCCCATGTTTACTAAGATCGCCCGCAGCACAGTGACCTTTCCCCCGTAGGTGAAGTAACATTCTTGCACTGTTTGGCTTACCGTCTGTCTCCGAGCAGCGGGACACCAGCTCCCACAGCACCAAGCCCATGGCGTACATATCAATCCTAAGGAAGGAGTCTCGCTGAAAGTTAATGGCTCCCTCCAGCACCTCTGGAGCCATGTAACGCCTCGTACCGACCTGAAATTCATATTGGATTCAAACAAAATTCACATCCAGGATGGGATTTCAGATGCATAAAGAACAGTCTGAATAAAGTTAGCATTGTAAAAATAAAATGTTAAAATATTATAGTCAACTATTTGGAGTAAAACTCTTAAATATTCCCATTCTGCATTAATAAAAAAAAAAAGCAGTGTTTCTCCCCAACATCTTAGATGAAGAGCAGATGCAAGTAAAGCACACTACTAAAGTAATCCTCTCTAAAAATTTATAATGAGTTTATAATGTATTATATATTATAATGTATTATATATTATAATGTATTATAAAGTATTGCAAACAAGTACATTTTAGCAAATTGTATTCATTTGCTAGATTAAGCACATTTTCAAAATAACCTATAAGTAGGGATTAAACATACTTTTCATTAAACCCACATTTCTGTAATGATATGTTTTTATTGGTTTGATGTATTACTTTAGTTATCTAAAATAACTGCCATATTTTCAATGGCTGTAGCTTGGAAACCATCATAATTAACAGCTAAGTGGAATTAATGTAATTTAATTAATGGAGTTAATGAAACAACTAAACTTTTCAATTACTGTCTAATTTTTTGAGATGCACCTGTACTTTTTGTTTTTACACAGATTGTAGAAAAATAATATCTGAAACATGGGCGAGAATTTGCTTTAACCTCCCCTACCTTCATTCTAATTTCCCTAAAGAAAAGCAGATGTATCAAACTGTGAATAGAGCCCACATGTGTGTAAATACAAATGAGGCTATTCTGTTTGAAAAATAACTCTTGATTTCTTAATCAGAACAGAAAGAGTCTGTCCAACTGCCTAGACAGAACAAAAAACCTTTTTTTAATCCATTAGTGAAAAGACTTCCATAAAAACATTGCAGGGACTAAAGAGATCCTTACTTTAGATAGGACAAATTATTGACAATACAACTAAAAGTCTTATGTTCCAATAATTCTTTATGGAACATGTAAAAATGCAATACATATCCTAGAGTCATGATGAGAGTGAAAACCTAACCTGAAGTTCTTCCTACCTGGCCATGAGTGTCTCCAGGAGGCTGTCCTGGTTCGAATCGCACAGCAAGCCCAAAGTCCCCGATGACCGCAGTTAAATCATCCCGCAGAAGCACATTCTTACTCTTGAAGTCCCTGGAGGATTTATTTCACAGCAGTCATTAAAACGCCTTTTTTTAATGGAGGTGTTTGGTCACAGCAGTCACATAATTTAATGCAGATGCTTTCAGTGAAAAACAAATCATTCAAGCACAACCTGGAAATGGGAACGTCTGATCTTAGATAAATCAAATGAGAACCATCGAGATTTTGTGAATAGGCCACCAGTGAGAGAGAGACAGAGAGATAGAGAGTTTGGACACACACCTTGTCATTCAAATAATTTTCTTTATTTTCATGACTATAAAAAATTTTGTTTTAAACTGAAGGGACTAAAACTATGAATTAACACATGGAATTATATACTTAACAAAAAAGAATATCTGAAATTTCATGATTACAGAAGCTGACTGCGCTTTATATTATCTAAAAACTGTCAGAACTGAACCGCACGGAGCCCTACTGATGAACTAGATTTAGTCGTGTCTGGTTCGGTTGTATCTGGCACAATCCGGCTCAGATGTGCGTGCCATTTACACTCAACAGTTATCTCGGTTACTGTGCTCGGACCGATCTAGGCACGGTTTCAAAAAGTTAGAGTAAATGGGGCTATACGCTAGTGAAACCATATAGTCAACAGTCATTGCACAAGAACTACTTAGTTTACTACACACAGTTCCAACCATTTATGGTCGATTTTTAGAGAAAGTGCTGGTGTGACTACAGTTTTCTGACTGCGCACTGCTGGTCAGCACCTCACATCCTATACACATTTTTTCAAACACCTGAATTTGCCTTTCTAACAAGAAAGACAAATTCAACTGTTTGAAAATAGATGTTATGGCAAGGGTCTTTTTTTAATGCTGAAGTATTTTTACGTTGTAACCAAATATACTGAATATACTCAGAAGGTATATATTTCAAGATTCACATGTTACACAAGCTGAGCCGACAAATGGTAATGAAAATTATTAAAATGAAGATGATGGCGAGTGTGGCTAAAAATGTGCCAGAAAGCTACTGCATTTTCTCAGGCAAATATTTACAGTTTCTCCTAACTCATCAAAAGTCTCAGCTAAGAAAAACTGATGTGGAAAATCAAAAACATAAAAACTGCCTCATGACAAACATAGAGAAAAAAAACAATGGTTGGAAAGCAATTTCAACACAATGTTTTTCTCAAGAAGAAAACAAAAAACACTAAAGCGTGATTCATCACTTGTATTTGAATTCATTCACAATAAACCGTTTCAATAAACCATCATCCAGCACAGGACCAAATCACATTCAGTTTTATACTTTGTCAAAACCGTCTTAGCCGTACTAATGCTGTAATTCTCATTTAGAAGCTGTCTTATAACATCGTTTTATGGTTTTAAACGCTTTTTATGTAAATACAGTGATGCTGTACAATGGTGGTATTTACATTCAAGGTTACCATACAGTCCTTTGCCTGTGCTGCACTGACAGGTTTTGTTGCAGGATTCAGATCAGTACTATAACCTAACAACCAATTGGATTAAAAATACTTCTTTTAGTCAGAAAGACCCAGGAGGTCCACAATGCATGCACTGCACTGATGACTAATAATAGTCGGGTTAAATCAGAAGTGTACCAAAGCTATAATGATTGAAAAGATTAGACTCTGTTTAACTGAATGTAACATGCACTAACACTAGGGGCCAAAACAGTGCATTTGCAGAGGGTTGAAAATTAAAGAGAAAGAAACTGAGAATGTGCACCAAAACCACATAACTGCTTTCAGTGCATATCTTTTCTAAATCCATTTTTTCTTTGTTTACCGGTGCGCAATAGTAGGTTTAGGCCCCTCCCCCTTGTAGCTGGGAATGTCTTCATGGAGGTAGGCCAATCCACGGGCCATGGTTTCTGCTATGTGACACAGCTCAGTCCAGGTCACAGTGTTGCCCTTCAGGTGGTCCGTCAATGAGCCCTGCTCACACACAAAACAGACAAAAGGTTAAAGGACAAGCATAAACACATACACCAGCGTTTCTTAATCTCTTTCTAACAGACTGCTGCTGCAAAGCTGCTAAAAATTGAGCCTGAAAGGGAAATGTGGAAATAAGCAAGTACAGTAGGTGCATCTACAAGAGTTAAGAAGCATTTGAAATTTTATCTGTGTGAAACTACTGATTTATGACACAAAGTGAGTTAAAGTCAACCAGCAATATCTTTAATTAAGGATTATAGCTAATGAAAAATCATCTATTTAATGTGCTTAGAGCACGATGAACAACCAGCTTCTTTGCCAACAAACTTTTTTGACAGACTATTTAAGTTTAGAGTGTTGATCATTTTGAATTAAACAACTGTCAAGGCAGCAGACTTCTCAACATATTACCTAAGCATATTGTACATATACATATATATATAATGTATTCTGTCTGTTTTAATTCTCTAATAAAGAGATTTTTTATTTTATTAACTTTATACAATGACCATCATTATGATCTCATTCTTGGCACATATTCTGCTTTTGAAAAACCTGTAGGAAACACGACAGTCCCTTTTTGAATTCAATTATCAATATAGAACAAGGTTTTTTTGAATATTCTAATCCCTTGTAAGCAGCCCAATTTATTTGGGCACAAATAGAGACAGATGTTAACCAGAGAAGCTGATAAATCTAGTTGTTGCAAGCAGACAACAGGTGGCATCTAATTAAATAGGTATTAGAGTCATCCATAATATCAATAGTATTACAATATGTGCTTTTAAATACAAGGTTTGTAGGAAAATCAAGTTAAATATGATGCCTAAAGAGAAAAGAACAAATAAAGAAAAAGATTGAAACTACAATGTAAAGCAAAATCTTCATCAAACATATTGGATGCTTTGATTCTAGGGGGAACAATAAAACTAAATTTGTAAACAAGTAGAGAGGTATATTCTCACTCTTTCATGAAACTCTGAGATAAGCCACAGTTCCGTCTCCAGGTTGGTTCCGTGCTTTTCTGCGGCAATGTAGCGCAAGATGTTTTCGTGTCTCATCCCAGGCGTCAAGAAGATGTCCCGCTCATTCTGCCATGATTGCTTATCCTGCAGAAGACAAAATATTAATGCAAAGAGATTTTGTTTTTCTTTAAAATAATTTAAATTTTTCTTTCTCTTATGTTTAATTTCCAATACAGGAATAGGAAAAGTAAGAATATTCCTATTCTAATTTACCTGAACAGGGAAGATTTTTACAGCAACATATTCGCTCATTAACTGAGCTTTCCAAACACAGCCAAAGCGCCCCCTAGCTTTGATTTCCAGAAGCTGCAGAGGTTTCAGACCCACCAAAGGAGAAGGAGGGACTGGTCCAGGATCCTGATTAAATAAACAAGCAGGATTACAGCCAAATAATTCCATGAAAAAAACATATATATAATGACTTTGACACATTAAATCACCTCCTAATATAAGTTGTAATAAAAAGTATGGTAGGGTTATGGCCTAGCTCACCTCGCTCAGATCCACGTGTCCATAAGGAGGCTTGCGGTGGCGGTACATCCACAGTGCCAAAACGAGGGCCAAGGACAGCACACACAGCGGCAGCAGAGAGTACACTAGAACATTCAGCATTGATGGCACACGGGGCGGAGGCCGGATTTTCACTGTAAAGGACAAACAGGGCATGTGTCAGCAGGCCGGCAACATCACATTTTGTTGTAAAGCAGCTCTGAAAACCTCCCCTGTAGAAACTGATGACTGGTGAGAAAATAAAAAACAGATAAAGATTCTACTAAAATAATCCAAACTGATGGGAGAAAAATAATAGTGACAAGTTATCAATAACTTAGATCAAAATAGAGTACAAATGTAAGCATAGTTTTTGAACCAGAGGAAAACTCTGCCTCTGTTTGACTGAATCTAGATGGGTCCAGCCCTTTATTATAACAAAATCAAACTGGCCAGCTAAAACTCCTGATGTGACCAAAAATCTACCACAAAACAGATCAAATGTAAGTGATTTAAATGGAGCATAATTACTAGTATCGTTGACCATGTAATACTGATGAAATGGGGAGGACTATACAGCACCTAAAGTCTTCTGAGTTTTCAAGCATTTATGTAACCATTTACTAAAGTGACTCTGACTTATTATAGGAAGGCAGACTACTGCTACTACATATTCAAGTCACATACTTGCCAAGTTATTCAATACTAAATAAAAACAAAAATGCAGAACAGCTTAGATTGCAGACGTTTCACATTAGTGTCTAAACCACAGCACTATATGACTTATTTAGAAAGGTAGAAGTGAGCAAAGACGACAAGTCTTTGTGCAAAGAATTAGATCAAGAATGAAGTTTTTCTTAAAAAAAGACAGATCATTAAACTGGTATATCATATCTAGAATCTACTTTTCATCATCAGTTTGTGCAAAGATTTCAACAAATGACATCTTAGTATAAAAGCTTTCAAAGCAACAGATGATCTATGTTCAACTTTAAGCTTTAAAAATTAGAAATTATATAAAGAAAACGACAGTTTTGGCAGAGGAACTAAATAGTGTAACAGCTGTGCCATGTTGCAGCTGCTAAAGTGCATGCTAATTAAGGATTATGGCTCAAAAATGATGCTGCAGTATAATCTAAAAGGGAAAAGCATTCACAGTGCGTAGGTAGGTCGCATTTATCACCACTCACCTCGGGTCCTGCTGCCAATCAAGTCAGGAAGGTGAGTGAATCGCTCGTTGCAGTAGTTACCCTCGCAGCAGCAAAAGAACACCTGAGGGTTTTCCTCCATAGAGACACACTCTTGCCTAAGACATGACAGAAAACCAAAAATAAGATTCTTTTATGCTTCGTAATTTTAACTCAAGCTGAAATAATACAGGAGTCTGTATTTTGATTTACAATATTCTGTGTTTTAGCTGCTGAAAAAAGGAGGAAAACTGGAACTCTGGTTAATAGATTGCATTATTTGGGATCCCTTTGGTGGGTAACAGTAGGTTGTTATGATACAATTTAGGATTAAAACTAAACTTAATAAAATTTCCAGTGTCCCTTGCCAATATGAATTCTGTCCAAGTATAATTCAGATGCAGCCTGTATGTCAGCAACCTATTACAATAAACCTAGACATGAAGGAGACATTGGGTATTTTTGTTCAACACTTGCTATGAAGACTTTCCTGTTGTGTTGACAAAAGTCAATAAATAAAGACAGCTTATTAGGCTGGCTGACAGTCTCTTTTCTCACTCTCTCTCTCTTTTTTTTTTTTAAACAACAGCCTTTTGGGTGCCTGAAAAATACGAACAGACAAGATGCCATGACAATAACCCTTTCTAACTGATAGCCACTGTCAATATTGAAGCTACTGTCTCTTTCAGCTTCCTTTTGGCACTAATGAGCTTTTACAGCATTTCCAATGACACTTCATTGCAACTACACTAAATATAATTATATTTTAAAAAGCATGTAGACAAAAATGACGTTTATTTAACTTGTCTTAACAAAAGTAAATGTCTGAACTATTACACAAAGATTACAGACTTGTTTAAAATAACATTTGGGACTTAGGATACACTTATTTACCTTGTATAAACCACAAAGAAAATTTAGTTTATCCCAAAAATAATGCCATCTCCTCTTCAATTGGATTTTTTCACATACTTGCTTCAAAGTCTTCCAACAGAAATATGAACTGCTGCCATGTAAAAGCTACTAAGAATCAAAACAAACACACTTGTTCAAGCACATTTATCTTTGTTTCGTTGGTGAAGAATCTGACAGGAGAGTCCCGTTATACAGGTTTTGGTTTTGGATCTCCCCCAAGGATACGCAGCCTCTTATTATTCAAACCAAGAATTTCTGTTCCAGGGTGAAACCAAACCTGCTGGAACATAACAATAAATCCTACAGGAAAGAAATCTCTGACACATTTCACTGCTCTTCATTAACTTTAAAGAGCCACTGATATCAGTCAATCTCAGGCCAATCAGACAAGAAAAGTTATCTGATAATATTTTATATCTGGTAGGCATAGGGTAGTTATTTGTGTAAAACATATCAAGGTATAATAGGGTTTGAACAAGTCTCTCTATTAAGGCCGCTAAAGGTTTCCCACTTGAACTCTTCCTTCATTTTAAACTCATGTCTGTGAAAGTTTCAGAGTGACTGAAGTTTTCTCTGAGTTTACGGGGGAAACAGGATCCAAGTACTGCCTCGCACCCACCTGTTGCTGGACACCTTCTAATAGATGTCTTAATGGCTCATTATGCTTGACACAAACACAATCCGCACAAAAAATGAGCTGCCTGTCACAGCCTCTGCAACCACTTTTTCAAAGTCACTTCTTGTTGTTCAAGAGCGACAATAATTTATTTTCTGTTTTTCTACAGTCTGCCAATAGTGGTGAAGTTTATGGGCTCAATCACAGGATGTCTCTACATGTTTATATTTGTGAACCCTCTCAGGTAGGAGCTGTTGCTTGCTCGCCATGTTTTTCCACGTGGATCTGTCAGAGTAGCTACTAATTTTCCTAAACGACCAGTGTGGAAATTCTGTCTCCATGGACGCCAAGTGGAGAGGCAGGCATATATGACGTCATCTGGACATGCAGCTGGGCCAAGCATATTGCAAAGTAAAGTAGCAAGACAACTCAAAGAGCTGTACATAATATGAAAAATCCATTTTCTTAGTGTTAGTGAGGATTCAGGCAGCAGCACGTTGGACCATCTGCAGCTGTCTGACTTTTTAGAAGGACCTGTGAAGACACTGTTTCAGTAATCAATTCTAAAGATAAATGCATGAATTTGTTTTTTTTCTAAGGTCATGCTAATATATTAGTCCTGTAACCCTGGACATGTTCATTAAGTCAACGAAGACCAAGTTTGTTACCGTCTTTATGTGCCTCTGAAGGTTCAGGTGACGGTCAATCACCATACCCAGATTGCTGGCTTAATTTGTAGTTTATAGCTGTCTTAACTGGAGTTGTATGCTCAGAACTCTTTATTTGGTCCAAAAGTTTCGTTTTGATGCAGCTGAAATACATTTAGGGACATTTATGTGTTGATTTCTTGTATGCATTTAAGCAGCACTTGAATGGATTCACATTCATCCATCTGGTGACATAATGTTTAGCTGTGTCTCATCTGCATAGCTATGGTAACCAGTGTTGCGCCGATGCCATTTTTTGGCCCAGATACCGATACCTGATACCTGGCTGTGCAGTATCGGCCGATACCATAATAATGTAAAATAATTGCCATCATGGCTAGGGCTGGGTACGGAACTTCGGTTCTTTTATGGAAATGCTTTGGTTCTACAGAGTATCGAAACATGCCTCGTCTTTCGGTACCAAGTTTCGGTGATTGGCTGTAACACTTAACGTGATTGCGTCATCCAGGAAAAATACACAGGTGGTCACGCCTACAGCCAGGGTTCATGTGTATCTGTTGTGAACTGGTTGTGAGCGTCGTGGAACCCCTTTAAAAAGCCCCCCAGGTCAAAAGTGTGGCTTCACTTTATTAAGACTGATGCCAATAGTGCGCAATGCAATACATCGTGCACAGAAACAATTTAAGAGCAGAAAGTTGCTTGGTGTTTGACTGCAAGAAGGGCGGACCGCAGCCAGCGCGACCATCCTCCTCTCAGCAGCCCGTGGGCAGAGCAAAGCCAGAGCGGAGTGAATCATGCTGCTTTCAAACTGGATGCAGCAAGAGCAGCAAAATCGCGTCTGCTGCTTCCTTTTTTGCTGCTTGTACCAGCTTCTGACGCGCGGCTGAATAAGCTTTGCTGCTCTGGCTGCGCGGTGCAAAAATGGGTCTGACGCATGTTAGGCGGAGCTACTCTATCCTTTATTTGCCTTGCAGCTATATTTGCTGTGATCAATGGGAATAAAGTAGTTTTATTATGTTTTTAAGTGGGAAAATCCACCTGAAAACTTAATCAGTGCAGTCAGTTCATCCTGCCTTCCAATATTTCTGTCGGAGCACCTCAGACCCCCACATACCAGCGGTGTGCTGTCAGTAGGATCCCTTTCAACGGGCTTGTTTTTCAGACATGGTAATTTTTCTAAAGGAAAACTGCTAAGTAAAAAGGTCCTCACAATGTAACAGTGAATATTAGACACTGATTTTTTTTTTTTATGTAAGAGGAAAAATGTAAATGTAAAAATCAGAGCTTAAAATAAAACTCAAGATTTGTACTTTTTTATGTTGTGTAATTTTCTTTTTTTTTTCGAATTGATATTATTAAACTGGTATTGAAAAAAGTATCGATCAGGAACCGGTATCGAAGTGAAGGTATCGGTATTGGTACCGGAACCGAAAATTTTGGAACAATACCCAGCCCTAATCATGGCTTTGTCAAGCTGCTGCCTACCTTTGTGAAGCAGGAAAAAATCTAATACAAAGTGAATCCAGTAGAACTTTTTATTGCCTACCAGGATGGTGACAATAGTTGAATAAACTTATGGCTCTCAAAATGGTATCGGTGCCCTATATGTTGGTACTCGCCGATACCGATACCACCATTGTAGGGCAGTAAAGGGGGCCCGTCTGATACTGGTATCGGTATTGGTGCAACACTAATGGTAACCTATGTTTTTGTTTATTAAGGTCTGACTTAGAGGGAGAATATAGATATTTAATAGGAGGAGTTCAAAGATGGACCCTTGGGAACACCACGTGAAATTTGGGGGTCTCTGATGCAAAGTTACCTTCTGACACAAAAAGAGACCTAACCTGGAGAGAAGGTTTAAACCAGCTGAGTGTTGCACAAGAAAGACTGACCCAGCTTTCCAAAACACTCTTAAAAATTGCAGTGATCAACAGTCTCAAATGGTCCAATAATACCAGAACTGTGGTTCTTCCAGTCTGCATTTATATAGATGTCATTGAACACCTTGAAAAGTTAAGTCTCTCTTATGATAAGGAATCTAAAGAAATGCTACCCCTTTCTCTTAACAGGGAAATGCTGATTTGAAACCCCAACTGGCAAGCTTCAAGTGGCATTCCTGTTTGGAAGCATAATGCATCAACATTCGAATGATGAACTTAATGGTAATCTGGGATAACCAGTATACCATCTTCTACGAAACATTGGTAATTGCGGTGTCTCTGTTTAAGAAAAATAAATTTAAAAAAGGACCTTCGTGGAAATACTGTACAGAAATACAAAAATTAAAACAAGTCTTAAATTATGAGATAACATTTTTTCCATAACCTACAAAAGCAACAAAGCTTGAAGAAAGAAGAAATTTGCCAATGCTCACATTTGTGAGGCTATTGCCCATTAGAAATCAAGCCCATATGTGTTATCAATCTGCTGTCAGTGTTTCAGGATGAGGGCTACAATAATTTGGGTTAGACCAAATGTGGATTCGGATGTTGGAGATTCTGCTGCCCTCATTATTCATTCAAACCTCGACAAAACCCAGAAGAAATACGCAAAATGTGTTGACCGAACCTGTCATAGCAGTTGAAGTCATCCAACCAGCAGCCTTTCTTCACCAGCTTGATGGTCCCTGAGGAGTTGAGCCAGGATGCGTAGCAGTGCAGCCGCTTGTCCTTTTCTCCCTCACAGCGCTCAAAGCCACTCTGGTTGGTCCTCTCTGTTCGCCAGTTGTCGTTGTAGTACACACATTCTCGGGTCTCCACCTCTCCCAGACTGTACCCTGATGTGGACAGAAGGACACGGTCAGCATGAATTGCAGTGAATTGACCCCAGAAGGGGAAGCTTGCACAACAAATGGCTTGGAATTCATTGTGTTATAAAAACACCACATCTCGGTGCAGACACCATCATCTAATTGGCATGTAGCCAATTTTGGGAGCGTTCTTTGCTAAAAGAAGGGGAAAAAAAGGGAGTTCCTCTGGGCTAAGAAATTGTTGCTGAATACTGGCTCAGCATAATCCCATTGACTAAATGATCTATTCAGAGAAGAAAAAAAAGCTAAACGCTCAGAGAAATTATCAAATCTAATTAGCTATAAAACAATGAGATGCCTGCTGTTGCATAGAAACCCAACATGCATTGACTTACTACAGCTACTACTACTGGGTTTTCCAACGGTTTTCATACTCCGCAAACTACCATAAGCATCAATGGGTTTCTTGGACTTCACGTGACTGGTGGAAACATGAGGTTCACTGTTGTGAGTTTAAGAGTATACAACCTTTTTTTTATTATTATTTTTTTTTTTTTATGTATGGCATACATTTGTATTCAAACCCTTCCAAACAATCCTTTATGAGACCCCATTGTGCTGTTAAAGTTACAAACATCCAGACAGCGGGGTTACATTATCTCTAAACCACAGCATCTTTCTTGACAGGTTTACATTTTTCCCCTATGCATCTTTGAAAACTGCAAACATATTTATTTATTTCTTACCATAAAATACTGATTTGTGGACCTCGCATAGTAACCACAATGTGGACAGACTCTCCCACTTAAGTCATAGGGGTGTACCAATACATCAATACATCTATGAAATGATAAAGGATACTTTAATAGATGAATGAATAATAATAAAACGAAAACACTGAACCACATCATCATGCTATTTTTCACTGAAATGCTTGATGCCTGTAATACCTGAAAATTAACATTATAAAATCATGTTCAACTGTATTTATTTGCGATTTAATTTAAATCTGTCAGATGAGGAGATTTTGCATAGGAATTTAGGAGTTGAATGGAAAATCGAATCATGATATATTTGCAAACATCCAAACCTGTCGATATATAATCACATTGTGTTAAAGCTGATGATCATTACAGAGCTATGGATCTCTTGGCTGCTTTGCTTTTCCAACCAATCCGTTTTTGTAGATGGTGACAGGCGATAGGTTTACAGTTATGTTGAACTTTGCAATATTTATCCATTATGTAAAATGGACAAAGTGGAGCTGGACGGTATCAAAATATTTCCCTGCAACACCATTGCAAAACAAACGACTAACAATACCGATTTACCAGAATTTTGACACTTCTCTCTCTCTCTCATTCTATATATACAAAGAAAACAAGTATCCGAACACCCTGCTATTTTGCAGGTTCTCACACTTAAAAAACGATGGAGCGGTCTGAAATTGTTATCGTAGGTACATGTCCATTGTGAGAGACGTAATCTAGAAAAGAAATTCAGAAATCACAATAAATTACTTTTTTAACTATTTCTTTGTATGATACAGCTGCAAATAAGTATTTGAACACATGCCTATCAGCTAGACTTCTGGCTCTCAAAGACCTGTTAGTTTGCCTTCAAAAAGCCCACACCCACTCCATTTATTATGCCAAACTAGATGCCCCTGTTTGAGGTCGTTAGCTGCATTAAGACACCTGTCCTCCCCTTTTAATCAGTAAGAATCCAACTACTAACATGGTCAAGACCAAAGAGCTGTCCAAAGACACTAGAGACAAAATTGTACACCTCAACAAGGCTGGAAGGGGCTATGGGGAAATTGCCAAGTAGCTTGGTGAAAAAAGGTCTACTGTTGGAGCAATCATTACAAAATGGAAGAAGCTAAACATGACTGTCAATCTCCCTCGGACTGGGGCTCCATGTAAGATCTCACCTCGTGGAGTCTCGATGATCCTAAGAAAGGTGAGAAATCAGCACAGAACTAAACAAGAGGAGCTGGTCAATGACCTGTAAAGAGCTGGGACCACCATTTCCAAGGTTACTGTTGGTGATACAGCAAGACATCATGGTTTGAAATCATAAATGGGACTGAAGGTTCCCCTGCTTAAACACACACATGTTAAGGCCTGTTTTAAGTTTGCCAATGACCCTTTGGATGATCCAGAGGAATTATGGGAGAAATTCATCTGGTCAGATGAGACCAAAATAGAACTTTTTGGTAATAATTCCACTAAACGTGCTTGGAGGAAGAAGAATGATGAGTACCAGACTCTGAACAAGCTGAGCAAGCAAGCTTTCAAGGTCATGAAAAAACTGAATCGTAATAAAATGGCAATATTGGTTGAAAGTAACCAAAATTGAGTTCTTTAGGAAAAATCGTTTAATCCTACTTGAAAGCAAGTGGTTTATATTCATTTTATTTAGGGTTGTAGGGAGTAAAGGAGTTGAACGTATGCCACTTTTTCTCCTTTTGTTTTCATAGTTAAAACATTTTGAAACTCCTAATATTCCATATATTATTTCCACACCTTTTTATGACGGTGCAATATTTTGTGGTCTATCACAAAAAATCTACAAAAGGGACTTTTTGGTGACAAAAACAAAAACAGACAAAGTGTCGAGGGGGTGGGTCTTGTGGTATTTTTATATTGCACTTTACTTTTTTTTGCGCTTGTATTTTGCTTTTGCATTTTTGGATTGACACCACTAAACACCTAAACTTTATGACCAAAGAGGTTCGAGAATCTGTGCAAGACTCTGTGTGGTCTCAGGTGATGCTACACGCAATGATGATCAGTACGGGCCTGCAAAAGATGCAAAACAGGTGGATGCAATGCTGTCATTCTTCTGAGATGATTACTTCATGGGGGACACGGTCACATCTGACCATTCTGACATAGAGTGGTACATCAACGAAGTAGGACTATGACCCAGTTAGGAACGATATTGATTTCAGGATGTTCAAATGGTCATTATTGGAAACCACAGCCATATTTTTAGACGGAAATAAACAAAGACAGCAGCATGGAATATTTTCCACCCCTCCGCATTGCTGCCACTGAAAAAAAAAATATATACATTTTTTTTAAACTTTGTGACAGTTTGTCAAAAATTGGAGACATGGGAATTTTCCAAATCATGTGTCATTTCCATCCCTACTAAAATCACAGTAAAGTGCACTGAACCTCAGGGTTATAAAGTGACCATGTGTGAAAATGTTCGAGGGTGTGAATACTTTCTAAAGGCATTAAATGGAAAAGTGCTGATGCATTTGTAAGAATAGATGCCATTTTTAAATAGCATTTATCCTGAAAGAATCACTGCTCACCTCAGCTTAAATGTAACAACAGCAATCTTCAAACTCAACAATGGAAACCTTTAGTTAATGCTCTTATAGGCTTTGATGTCGGACACACCGGGAACACGCCAAGTAAAGAGGCAGATAACAAGTAGTGCAGGTTGGTCAGTATACAGCTTGGACATTCAGGCTCAATCTTTGTTCAGAGGGGAAAAAAACAGAGCCTGTCTCTTTAAATCCCTGCCTATAGGAGCCTGCCCATCCCCCAACTTCACCCCCACCGACCCATTACACACACAGTCACTTACACAAACACATTCACACATTTAGCTGTCCAGCAGCACACAATAGACATTATATCATACAGTGGATGCATGAAATGACCAAACACCATGCTTATTACAAAGGAGGGACGGAAAGAAAGGTATTAACAGCAGAGCACATGCATTCACTCACACTCACTAACAGCAGTGATGCTCAATGCTCCACTGAGCCGAGATGGCATTTCTGATATCCGTGGTCACAGGATCCAAGAGGACTTTTACTACATCATCATCACCCCCCTCCCAAATCCACCTCCCCCTCTGTCACTTTACTGGGCTTTTACACAACAAACATGAATTCTGGAGAAGCAGCTTACTGTATAGCCTACCTACTCCATTTCCTGATCCATAAGCCATAAAGGCATAAGCTGCAGAGATATTTAAAACTCAAAGACAGCTTCTACAACAGCTGCAGTAAAAAAAAAAAATATAGAACATATTGATTACAAGCATACCTGTTCAAAACTATTTGAAGAATACTTTATTTACATCTGGGGAATAAGGCAAAGAACTGTTTGGCAAACGGCCACATAAACCAGCCAAATAATAGAGAAAAAAAGTAATATAAAATCCTCCACACTTAGTTTCACATGGTGTCAAGGGTGTGTAACAGTAACCTCAGATCCAAAATTAGTTTAGCCTTGAATCAGCTGCTGCCTGTGCTGATCAAATACCACTAATTTACTGAAAAATAAAGAATGAATCCAGAAGGAAGCATTTCTTCCACATTCCTGCCCAGAGCTGCAACAAAAATAAACCCACAAAACAAACAAGTTGAACCAAAATAAAATTGGTTTAGTCTCTGCATGGAAATGATGTTGCTGAGCAATATAATTTAAAATGTAATTTAAAAAATAAAATATGCTTTTTATTTGCTGCTGCTGGCTGCAGGACAATAAGCATTGATTTTTTTGTTGTTGCTACAACTCTTTTTCAAAGCATGATTGTATGGGTTGACTTTAGGGCCAGAAGTTATATCTCAATGCATCTCCTGATTTCAGAAATGAGGTAAAGAATGCCCACACTAGCATCCTGTAAAAACACATGACAATAATTTTGCCTAGTTATACGAGTCTGCCAATATAACTTTATTGATATATATGATTAAAAAACAAAACCACACAAAGCCCAAGTTGTCAGTCCATGGCAAACGCTGTAATAATAGACTGTAATGTGTGCTGATATATAACAAATGCCATGTCACTGCAATTAAATAATATTCTATTTTGATATAAAAAAAAATAATATTGAATAATAGTCCACACCCATCTAAAGACAAGGCTTTTTTTATTTCTGAGAACCTGCTTGGTTAACCTGAGTGAAGTCTGTTTTTCATCAGAAGCTGGATTTTGTCTAACTGTTGGAGTTTCAACATTATGTTTAAACTGAAAATCTAAATCCTTTCTATATTATTAAGGTTACTTATTTTAAATGATGAAAATATGTTTTAATAGCAAAGAACTTGTTTATCTAAGAAATACAAGTCAGGCCAATAACATTTACCGCAACTAAAACAAAAGACAACATGAATATTGTTGATTGAACATTTTGCAGCAACATGGGAGGTTTTAAAACTAAAACATTTTTCTATTTTGGATCAATTTATTTATTTATTTTTTGTACAGTAAATTGATGGGGCATAAACCCATCTGGACATTTAAAATGCTGTAGTTCTTCATCTGTACATCTAATTTTTTTTAATATGGCATCTTATTTTTTCTCACACAACATTCCTTTTTTAGCATTATTACCCAACCAACATTTTTTAAAGATGAAATATGTTTTAAATATACAGCACAAATGTTCTCTACTAGACACCAAACAACCAATGAGAATAAGCAACACCACTATGACACATGGAGCCACCAACATGGCTGCCAGCTGTGTAAACCTAAATAAACTCCTACACTGCTTGCTTATTGAGGATAGCAGGAGAATGTTACCTTCAATATGAAAGTATAAAGACCTTAAATTATAACATCAAAACCTGAAATCAAACTGAACCAGAGATAACCCTTTCAGTAACATAAATTCTTTAGGAAAATGTTCCCTGCCTCCAAATAATTTATATTAGATGGATGAGAGCTTTATGCCATCGGCAGCCATGTTGGGCACCGTCTGCTACACATTCTTTAGTTACATATTCATGTTATATTTCTCACTCTTTTGATATTTTATGTTAGTTGTTTCTTGTAACTCTGGATGATCTGGTTGTTGGTGATTTTCTCCCTTTTGGCATTCCATACCTTTCTAATCCTGGTTACTTTAGGGAGCTTATGGGCAGGTTATTTTTATAAGAACTTTTGTGCAGACAATGGACAAATTTGTACTAATTAAGGCAACAATTAGTACCTGCATTTCCAACCGCTTATCTGAAGAAATTTCATAAAATCCACCCTAGTCTCTAAAGTAATTTGGCTTTATGTCCTCGAGTAAATATGAGCTGAGAATTTGATAAAACTTGTTTTGGTTTGCCTAAGGTTAATAAAATCTCATATTTCCTCAGAGTAAACTGGTCAAAACAAGGACTGAAATCCAAATAAAATGAAATCAGAGTGTAAAAACGACTCGTTGAAGAAAGCATCTTGTGAAAAAATACAACCAACAGGTCCAATGAAGGTTTATACACAGGAATAAAATGCAAAGATTCAGTGATGGGAACAAAATGAAAGCAGGAAGCAATGAAACAGGTAAAAAAAAAAAAAAACTAAAGTTTAATTTAAGTCTCATTTAGAATGTTTATTTCTATTTAAATTTTGGATGTATTGCCAAATAAAAGTAGTTAAAATTAAAGAATTCTCCAATCATAAATCTACATTAATGATTAAAGTTGAATAGCCTCCAAATGTCTTTTTTTCAGTGTATGAGGTTTCAGGATGTTGATGCAGCTGCTGCCTTCTATTCCTGCCACCGTTGGGGAAGGCGTGCAACAGTTTTACTTTAACTTCTTATCACAGAACTATCGAATTACGAGTATTTTTAAAGCTTTGGGACATATAAAGATACACCTACTGCGGTTACTACATTTTAAGAGGGAAATTTAAGCACAGCGGTCAAAGAGGATTAACGCTGAGAGATTTAAATCCCAGTGCCACTAAAGTTTAAACGAGGGTCGGAATTTAACACTATTTTTTTCCCCTTTAACAAAACGGTTAAATAACAGCCATCAATAAAAGAAAGAAAAGAAAAGCTGCTTACCTGCGCATAAAGTTCCCAGAAGAAGTGAACAAGTCAGCCATGAAAAAGACATGTTCCGCTTTAAATAAAGGACAGCGATTTCGTCCTCTTTCTTTCGCGAACATTAAAACTCAGGTTGACTAAAAACATCAGTCCAGGATTAAACCGACCACAGGCCTCCTCGGTCCCACCACCACCTCCTCCACCTCCACAGCGCGTATCAATAGCCGCGACGCTGCAACAATGTTGCAAAGAAAAGGAGCGATTAACTGACTGCCGGGCGGTTAGTCCAGAATAAGGTGCCGCATTTCGCATCGGAAACGGCTTCACCGACCGGTCCAAGCGTCTGAATGGACGTCTCAACGTTGTTTTCTGAGGTTATTCGCTGAAATAGTAGCAGCGCTGCGTCGGGGAGGTCGGTCGGGGGTTTACATGCATGTTACTGATCTGTGTCCAAAATGGCTTCTAAATGGGGAATGGGCTGCAAACAGGGAAACCCGGATGTGTAAACACAAAGGGGGGAACTCAGGCAGCCACGGAATGACCTTAACGCGACACCATGGTTCTAAAAAAATTAATAAATAAAATCTCTTAAAATTAGGACTTTATCCCGATTTACTGGGGATGATTAGTACGTTTTTTTACACACTTGGAGTGAACAGTGAGGTAAGTGTGTTCCGTCCGGTGTATTGACGCCGGTTAGGGAGAAGGAATTTATGCTTTCTCTGATAAACGTGGAGGTTTTCTTTCTAGGCTAGTTGTTAGTCAGCCTGTTAGAAAACGCCTGTTAGAAATAAATGTTTAAAGTAGACCGCGGTGGGTTAGGGTTGGTTCACACAGTCTTTGATTTTTACTTAACAATAAGGAAAATTACAGCTGCTGGTGCAAATTCTGTCATATATGTAGGATTAGGTTTGATATATACACACACACATACATATATATATATATATATATATATATATATATATATATATATATATATATATATATATATATATATATATATATATATACATATGCGTATATATGTATTTATTTATTCATATAATTAAATGGATCTTTCCTTATCTATTTACAGTAATTAAAATATTTTATCAAACTGAAATCGCCCTAAACCTTGTGTTTTCCTTTTCCTAAAAAGTTATTTCGTGCCTTGTAAACCTTTGTGTCATTTTGTTACTGTTGGTTATGTAGATAAACCTCTAATGTATTTTATTTACATTCTACATAACTTTATATTTCAGTCTATTTCTGTGCATTAATGTTTATAGCCCACTTTTGGGCAGGCTTCTTTAGTAGCATATGGCTGATTATAATTCTTTGTCTAATGTTTTTTGTTAAATGACCACAAAAGAAACATAAATAAATACACCTTCTGGTCAAATCTTTATTCCCACCAGAATTTTATAATGTGTCAATAATAAGCACAGTGACAACCAAACCTTGTCTAGTTTATTATGTTAAATTTAATAGACTCAGCCTACCTGGAAAGGGGAAAAGTGCAGACTAAAAAATATAAACATGTACCTCAGAATAAAAAAAATAAAATAAAAAACATCATAATGCTATATTGTAAATGTAATATCTCAGGTTAACACTATCTTTGTTTGTACCATTTCAAAAATATGTTCCAAAGGTTATAGATTATGATAAATGTTGAGTTTTTTTCTGTCTGAATGATCTTTTATGCATAAGTGGCATAGCTATAAACAGCTGCCCCAGTTTGGAGTAACAGGATAGTGTAAATGCTAATTAAAATGCATTCGTTCCATTTTCCCATTTCACCTCTACACAGTATTAGACATTATATTTATAACTCATAAAAACACTGAAACAAAGCAATACATTGTGGCTGAGAAGCATTTCTTTGCTTTCTTAAAAAAGCCACATTGTTCCCAGACAAATATTCATATGATTTTATAGTCTGTCAAGTAATCTGATCATCTAAGCTTCGTAGGATTTTATTGACTGGGTAATAACTGCTCATTTATCATTGCTGCTTTAAATTTTATTCGGTTTGTCTTTTTAAGCTTTGCACACCTCACCAAACTGCTTATTGCTTTTTTCCACAAAAAACCTGAAACCACTACCTTTTGTTTTACTTTATTTGCTGATTTTTTTTAGTATATACTCAATCTATTTCCTCATCATAGATTAAAAACTAGACATGCAGGCTCAGATATATTTGTTTAATCTATCTGATATTCGGTTGAATTTCCCTGCATCTTGCAGATCAAACAAACCCCTTTTTGTTGCCACCAGCAAGTCGTTGGCATAATTCTGGCTTTATATTTAAATTATATATCCCCTTAGCAGACAAACACCTTCTTGAAGACTTAAGGTCAGAGCTTTAGAAAGTTTTTTTTTTTTTTTAAGAATAATAGGATTCTGATTTATCTATTTGCAGACCAGTTGTTGGCCTGGAGAAGTTTCAAAGAACAAGTTTAGGCCATCTGTCACCTTCATACAAAACATGTTCAGTATCAATCCAAGAGCCTTTAAGCCTTTAACTGAACACCAGCATCACTGCACACAGTATGGTAGTTTTTTAATCTCTATATATTAAGACAGACTTGACATGACATATACACATGTCGAAGGTTTGAGTTGCATTATTGCCCTTATCTGAAGTCCTCCTGCCAAGAGAATACAAATTTAAAAACAATTTATTTGAAAAGAATACTGATTGGGGTTTGATGTCTTCAATAGTAATCCCCGACTCTATTAGAACAAGCAATCAAGCTGAGTTTGTGTCAAAATCATCCTCTGTATATAAAATGGGTCACAGAATGTAATCTCTTTCGGACATTTATTTCACATATTTTAAAAATGCTCCTCTGTGGTAAAAAAAAAAAAGATAAAACCCATCATCAAGGAAAATCAAGCAGTGCGTTTTTTTTTAATGCTATTAGTCTGTTACTAACACCTCTCTGTGACACCAAGGCTAATGGTGTTATAGTGACAGTAAGTTTGTTCATGCAGCAAATGGCATTGGAATATGGTTAGTCATTTGGTAATCAGCTTTAAACTAGGTAGTGTAACTAGAGACAAAGCATTTCCTCACTTAGGGTATCACATATTGACCCTGAAATCCGATCGAGGCCATGAGCGAAACCTTGTAAAGATAGACGGGTTGGCAGAGAAAGCACAGGAGTGCTTATAATAAGGTCCAGGGGCCTGAATGGCCACAGTATGATCTGAAGAAAATAATCACGTTGCAGGAAAATGGTGGATTGCAAATAATGTACCGTAAAAATACTGGAACACATGACAAATTTTCTCTGAAATACATTACATCAGAATTATCTGTCTGGCTATGGTATATAATTTAACCCTACCTTCAATAAGTTCTTTATTATGATTGGTGTTGGTTGATACGGAAGCGTATTACAGTCACCAAAGAAAAATATAATAGTAAAGATAGTAACTACGAGATTTTTATCTCGTGATTATGAGATCATATCACGTAATTATGAGATTTTTTCTCATAAGAGAAAATGTATGATCTCATAATTACGTGATAAAATTACAAGATAAAATTATGAGAAAAGATCTTATAATTACTAGCCTGACGTAGTCCGGCTCAATTCTAGTCAGAATATGAGTCTGATAGTGCTCCATAGAGCTGTGATTATGGGGCGTGTTTCGAACGAACCAGGAAAAAAAATGCCTCTGCACTCAATTGGATAGACCTACAACCAATAAGGGCAACGGAGTGCGTGACGTATGTTAAGCGAGGCATAGTTGTTGTCCACAGAAATCAAAGCGTGCAGTTTCACGCCTAGAATAAGAAGATGAGACTTGATCGCGTTTCTCTGTTCCTCTTTTAAAATTAATTTGCTGTCGATATCTTCTAGAACAGACCTAATAGCAGAATCTACTCACCCAAACTCTCCAGCGGCAGCCATTATTGTTGTCACCCAAGAGCGCTTTGGTCACGTGGTTGATAACGTTACTCTTGATCATCTGTCCATCATCGTATAAAGCCCGCCCTGACAATTTGATTGGATCGCCTGACAGTGGGCTTTAATACTCGCGCTACTATGGAGCAGAGCCAGACCGAACTTCCCCGAACTCAAACCTTGTGGGCGGGACTAAGTTCGGACTGGCACCCAGGCTATATAATTACGGGATCCTATCTCATAATTACGAGATAATAACTACGAGATTTTGTCTCGTAATTATGAGATCATATCTCATAATTATGAGATCACATCTTTTTTTCTTATGAGAAAAGATCTCATAATTACGAGATAATAACTCATAATTACGAGATACAGATTTCGTAATTATGAGATAAGCTGTCTGATTTTTTTCTTCCTTCGGTGAATGCAATACGCTCCTGTAGGTTGATCATATTTTAAAGCTACAGTGTGTAATTTTCAGCGACATCTAACGTCCAGACTGCAGACCGCAGCAACATGAACATCTCCCCCCCACCGCTTCTCCCCCCCAACAGTTCGGCGAGCGTTACGGGACAAAATGTCTTCCACAACGTCCGCATCACCTACCTTCTCAAGTGATGAGGTTTGTTTACATAGATAATTTTAATACTGCCATCTATTGTTCAGTACCGTCTCAGTTCATCTCTCTCAACTTGCCGTAGTTACTTTCGAGCGTAATGGGCGATCTCGCAATCGCTAGTTTGTTGGCTCTGCGCTGCCGTAGCGCAAAGATGTCTGCCTCCATGGCTGCGAGACCCGCTCCTATGTAATTATAAATAACGAATTCTAAGGCAACGCAAATATTAAGGTTAAGAGGCTGAGCTCGTAGATGATGATAAATAACATAGTTATGTATAATATATTACATTTCTGACTGTATATCCCTGTAATTATTACACACTGTAGCTTTAATAGAATTTCCCTGATATTATTTTTTAACAGTGATGTAAAAATATAAGTCAAGGAACCCGGCACATTTTTAAGATGCACGCCAATACATCATAACCAACGAAAAGCAGTTAGAGTGGCCTGCAGTTGCCTAATGTTTTGTTTCGTTAAATGACATGCCTAAATGTCAAATGTTGTTGGGATTTTAACTATCTGTGAAATGAAGGTAATAGGAAACACCAAAAAAGAAAAGTTTAGACAGCATTAATGTTTAGCCCTTTAACATGGATACCCCTAAATAAAATCTGGAGCAACATGTATCCTAAGTTTTGAACATCAGTAAGAACACTGTCTGAAAATGGAAATAGTACAGAAGACTATACATCTGCCAAGGCATGGCAATGAATCTGAGCAATAGTTATTACATGCCAAGGGCTGCAGATATCCACAGCTCAGATTCAACATTATTTTACCCTGTTAGATGCTCTACAAATATTCAGAGCTGATGAGATTGGGTTGAACTCTATGGACTGACCATTTCTAGACCTTTCTAGTTACACTGACATCTCAAAATGTTGGCATCTTTTAGCAGTTGTGTTTAAGTCCATCCTCAAGGGTAAATGCCTTTCCACTTTA